GTAACACATTTCATTTAAATCAGTTCAGTAGTTTCGGAGTTAAAGTCGGACAGACAGACAGGCAGAGTTACTTTCGCATTTATAATATTAGTATAGATGACAGCAGCCGAAACGTCACGCCGTAGTTAAACTGAATTTAATTATTTTAACTAATATATTTCGGGTTTTATACTGTAAAAAGTGATTTATTGAGATGTGTAGGTACCTACTACCTGTGTTAAACTGCGTGTAGATAATACCTGATTTGAAGTATTGTAAACTGCGTGTTTTGAGGCACGGCACATAATACCTGGTATTTGAAGTATTGTAAACAATCGCGTTTTAATAAAGAAATGAAATAATTAAATCTCTGTGAATTTAAACATCATTAACGAATAAAAGGACAATGGGTAAAAAAAATGCTTCACAAAAAATCCCTTGGTCTCCAGTGTACACGTTTCTAGTCAAGAATTTTGCGGTAATTTAGCAACAAAAAGGCAACAATATCATTGTCCAGCGAATGGGCCTATGTTGCCACTATGCCACAACAAAAGATGGTAATAAATCCATAAATACAATGAGACGTCACCGCATTTGTTATGCAATTATTGGGAAATTGTATATTCATGGGAGAGTTATTGTAATAACTAAATATTGATATGTACATATACCATTTATTTTTCTGTCATATAGTATATGCATAATGCGTTATCTATATAAAATAGTTTATTCTAATCTAAGTTGTTAATTGAACTTGGGTCTGGAAATCTGGATATTAAATGTGTGGTTGGATTATCGGAATTTTCGTCTTCATGAACTCTTTACAGATGTGCCGTAATTTTCGAATATCCAAAGCCGAAATAGGTCGACATGCAAGTAGATGCGCTACTTTAGATTTTAGCGTTCTTTCATCTCCCATCAATGGAACCTTATGCGTGTCCTCGTCTATCATAAAACAAATATTCGTACTTACGGTTATATTAACTTGTGTTAAAGTGGTTTTTGTTAAACAAATTAAAAGTGCTAAAATATACAATGACGAATACGTCATCAAAACGTCCGTACATAAACGGATTGAAAAATCACGACATTTAGAATGACGGTAGTCTAATGGATAATAAGTTCGAGACCCGCCCGTGTCAATGTTTTTTTCGTCAAAAATTTGAAATTCGAATTTCGAAATTCCATAAACACGTCCACTATTAAAAGATCATTAGCCCGTCGCTACTCTTACCTGGCTATTCATTATACTGTCAAAATATTTCTCTCCTTTTTTTTTCTCTCAAATTCCCTTCGAATCTAACGAAATTGTTCATCTATGACATCTCAATTCGCAACAAAGAGATACATTTGTCATTGTCCATTAGGCCACATTGTTGGGGAACATGTACAATATTAACTTCTAATTCGTAAATTCAATTTGTTGACTTCATTATTTATTGAGGTATACCACGTAATACTTGACAATAGTAAGCAATATTGTACAGGAGCTGTGTGTGACAAATTATTAATTATATTTACAGGAAAGCAGTATATTGCACCTTTAAACGGGCGAATTTCGTCTTCATAAACAGACGCAAATTTGTGTCTGTTTTCTGCTTTCATCACTTTACATATATCGCTTGCGAGATAAAAAGAAAGATGTTCCTAATATTTATTTTTATAGATGAGGTTTTTAATAAATCGCGTTGATGTTTTTCGGGTTTGATTCCCGTAAGTCATAATTTTGTAAATTACTCGAAGACTCGTTTTTAAAGTAAAAATTAAAAAGTCCCTTTATGCAAGGTTTGCTACCCTTTTTCGCGTTCGACTCCCGTCCAAGTCATAGATGTGATAAATTACTTACTTTAAAAAAATACTTTTTTAAGTTTTTCCCTTATACAAAAATCCTTTTTAATAAGTGAAAATTTAATGAAGGTACTTATAACCATTTATAGGGAAAGACAAAGTGTAGAAGTCTTAAATGTAGGTATATTTATGTCAAACATATCTAGCTTATCTTTACAATTATACATAGAGCCTTGGTGTTGTATATGTATTTTTGATGTGTACATAAAATACATGTGTTAGGTGTGAACGTAGATAGCAAAACATAGCTGAATACAAAAGCGAATACAGCGTAAAATAAAAAATCACATTGTAATCCGCTATTGGCGCAGATAAGGAGGGATTGTGACAAGGCAAGAATTATGTGCTCCAGAGGGCAATTTTTCTTTCCCGGGATTTATTCCCGTAATTTATTGAGGATCTGCCTGTATCTGGACTAACCCGGGATGGGTCTAGCTGATGTAACAATTAAAGAAACTCTAGGTGGGTTGGTTATTCTAAAGTGTTTGGGGATTCGATAGGGCTAGAAGATAATTCCAAAAACAATGGAATTAAGTTTTGTCTACAGTCTAAGCCAGTTGTACACATTTTTAAACGGTTTAAAACGCGATATATATTAGTTAACTTATTGTCCCCTCGTGATTACAGCCGCTGCTAAGCAGTCGAAACGTCGGGCCATATTTAAAATAAATGGTTAAATTAAATAATTTTAACAGTTTAAAACGCAATATACCTACATTAGTTGATCAATTTTTTTTTTAACTGCGGCCCGACCGTAGATAATGAACGGTCCGCAACGTCGAACAACGAAACGATAAAATGTATATAAGATTAGCATATTTCGTGTTTTAAACCGTTCCAACGGCTTTATTTAAAAACTAAAAAACACATGAATTTAGCTTACACAAGCGAAAGTTTGATAAATAGCTTTTTAATTAGAAAATGTATATACGACAAGTAATATTTATATAGATACCAACATATAAGTAGTCTACAGTGATAGTATCTTAAGGGTCCTCAAGTGCGAAGGCATAGTGTTCAAAGGGAACGTGAATTTTTAACAGAACATGCTTAGTCACGTAACGACGTCACATCAAGAGTCGGCTTAACCAGTACCCCACGACCGCAGTCGTAAATTTAGGGTTTCATAAAACCAGATCCGAGATAAGACACAGTGGAGAGAGCCCGGATCAAATGCGAACCTTTGAATCGTCATAGACAATAAAAACGACGCCTGCGCATCAGCTGGCGATGGTCGTCGCAGATTTTGTCCTGTTTTCATTAAATACGCGATAGCGATCGTGGTTGCTTTGAAAATGTGACCACTGTGCGAATTACCAATGTGCATCTGTTCTAGGGTATAAGCGGACATGAAAAATTAACTGCTTTTCCGTCATTTGATAGGTACAGAAAAAAATTATTGCTAATTGCACTGGCAGTGTTTTTCATAAAAATCGATAGAAGTAGTAAGAATCGAACCTTCGATACTTGAAATACCGTGTCGCCGTTTTCATGTGCATTGTTAATAATAAATATATCATGTTACCATTTTAAGTATGTTGAAATAAAACACATTTCACAGTTTTATACGTGAGTTATAATCGTTAATTTAAATTTAACTGCTATTCAATGTTCCAATCCAATACAGCGAAGATTTGCTGTTTTAAACCGTAAAAAATGTTTTATGTCATTACCACTCCTATGACTATGTCATGATTAAAAATATATTGTAGATAGTAAAAAAAATGCGACATGGATTCCGGTTCAGGCCCGCTCGTGTTGTGCTTTTTAAATTAATTTTTTAAATACCATTATGTGCACATGTAAAAAATATGAAATCTTGTTGATATTCCAGTCCGTCTATGGCCTGAAATGGGCATCCCCTTTGTCCTGTTTACACAAAATACGTCGCGATAACGATCGCGCTTTTACCGAAAGACGAGAAAAATTTGCCTAGCAACACGACACTTTGAAAAAAGCTGTCAAAGATGACAATGGCATTATGATTCAAGCGAGCATCTAGCAATTGTTCTGTTATATTATATTCATGGAGAGGTTTGGGCGCTTTTGTGGTCTCGTATTGACAAATAACTTACGAATGGGGGATTAGGCCCAGCCTTTGTTAGATGGCGCCACTGTAATCTCTTCAGCCTCTCGATTTTCTAGCGAAAGTATTGGAAACGCATCAAGTGTAAATTGCGTAACAATTTCTCAATATTAGTAATTATTGTATTGTAGACTGTTCGTCTTGAAGTCTTTTTTAGAGTTACTTTGCTCAATATAAGCTGCGTTACTTTAAAACGTTTTGTTTTACTACGATTCGTACAAAAAAAAAGATAACCTTTTTAAAGAAACACGAAATATATTAGTTAAACTTGAAGTCCCCCCCCCGTGACCACGGCCATAGTTAAAATAATTTTTAAATTAGTGTTACTAATATATTTCGCGTTTTAAACCGTTAAAGTGTTTTATTTAAATGTGTACTACCCGCGTAAACTACAGACAGTATTTGAAAGTTATATATTTTTTTTAGTTACCCAAACTCTTCATACAATACTAAATCATTTACCGAGGAAGGCTTTACGCTAACATACGCTAACATCATTCTGTGACCAATAGGAGCGGAGGAACACTGGAAAATGTGAACAAACGGGAAAAATTGTTCGTCTTTGTGGGTTCATGTGCCGTTCAAGAAACCAAAAAAATAAGTACGAAAGAATTGTTTCTTTTTAATTAAAAAATAATGTCCGACAGTATATATCTATTACTTAAGATTAACTCGTTTTTATGGTAATCTAATTTGGTCGTAATTAATGCAGTACTACCAATTATAAACATAATAATATTAATTTTGTAAACAACAATGTAACGCTTACCAGATCAGCTAGTAGAGGTTACAATAGTACTCAATTGTTTTGTTAAATAAAACAATTAGCTAGTACATATTTCAGAAAAACATTTCTTTAAAACGGGAAATACATTAGTTAAAAGGAGTTAGGAGTTTATGTCCCCGTGAAGGTCATGCATTCATGGCTGCTGCATAGCACTAACATCGTTAAAATAAATAAACATTCTTTTCACGTTTTAAACGGTTGAAGGTGTTATATTTATATTAAAGTGAACTGTTAATGGTAAAAAGGAGGAATATTGGTACATTATGTGTGTTTACATCCCTTTTTCCGCTTCACTACGAGTTAGGTGGACGAATTAGGAATTAAAACGCGCGAGGGCATTCGCAGCGGGTTACAGGGACATATATTTAAAGCTTCTGTAGATAGGGGTGCAATAATTTTGACAATGACTAGCAGCCTTACCCGGGCGAGGCGTAGGCGCGGTGCGCGGGGCGCGGGGGGCGATCTGCGCACTAAATCACGCTGCGAATAAAATTTATGGCGCCGAGATAAAAACTCGCAGCTTTTCTCTTTTACGTTCCTTTCCCCCGCCCCGCGGGCCCGCGCGCCCTCGGAAAATCCATAGGGATTTTTCCAAGTGTTCCGGCGGCGTGTATGCGGTCGGGGATCCCGTTTTATGCTTATTGTCTTGCTGTGTTTTGTTTGTTGGGCGAGATTGTGAATGGACCGACTTGAGATAACCATCCATGCTTAGATAATATCGTATTTAATCTTGGAAATGTTGGGAATTCTACAAATAATGCATCTTCAAGTGTGGAATCCCGTTTCCCCAAGGGGGGAAAAAGCATATTTGATCAGAATTATGAGGCGAAACAATCTGTTCTTTCCCCCGGATTCGAACCTAGGATCTCTCGCGCTTAACAAAGCTAGGCAACACGTTTAACCATTTAGCTACAGATGGCGTTCATACGTGTTAAGACAATACTAAGTATATTGGCTTTTGTATAAGCCATCGCGGCCATTTTGAAATGCTAGTCAAGTTGTATGACGGTCGTGATTAAGGAATGGTTCTCGATGTTTCGCCATCACGAATTTTGAAGCCCGTTGGTGGTGGCGTCGGGTCGTGGGTTCAATTCACACCGGGTCTAACACTTTTCAATTCAATTTATATGTTTTCTGAAACATTTTAGACTTCGTGTTGATCTGGATATTAAGAGTTCAGTTAAAATAGGCCGACAGCGCATCTTGATTAGATTGGCTACGGTTTTTTACCTACCATCAAGTGAATTCCGTGCTTCTCTGTCCTCCTCCATCATAAAAACATCACGAGTGGGTTCTTCAAGAGAAGTTGACGTTCCCAAAGAGTCGGCTAAATTCGATAGCTAGAGTGCACGTATTTATGTAAAGTAGTTTTATTAAAAAATGGGCTTACAAACGGCAGCTGCTCTATCCAGCAAAGCCTTCAAATATTGGGATTGGTTCGTACCACAAATCGCATTCACGTCAATCCGTCTGTCCCGCTTATCAGTACCGAATCAGTGTTTACATTATTGGAACGGCGTGATCTCCGTCAAAATAATGTCCCCATTAGACTACAAAGCGCCACAACAAAAAATGACAAAAATATCGACAGATAGGGATAGCAAGGCCATCTGTGGATATTGAGACCGTCGCGCTAGATAGCTTATCGGGCCATCTCGTCTCGCATTTTGTGAAGAAGAAGCGAAAGAAAAGGCTCCCATTTATAGCTGGGGAACCATAGAGCACGCCACGCATTAGCCCGACGGCTGTCGAACGATGATGATTTGAATTTCCATTGTTTATGGTGGCAGACATGTGTCAAAGTTCGATTGGAATTTAAATTCGGCCCCTTTGTTATCCATTTTTTCCGCCCGCTTGTAAACACGGCGCAGTGATGTTCCAATTTGTTTACCGGCGGAGTATCTATGACTTTGACGTCGGCGTTTCGGTTGAATAACAACGAATCATCCTCCGCCTCCGTTCGCGTTATGTAACGAGAAATCCAGTTAGACGTTTCCCGCGGTCGGAAGATCAAAGCATCTGGTAAATTACCAAACTCGAGGGCACGACACAAAGCGGCGACCATTTTGTTCCGACACTTTTCAAAATTGGAACGTGACGGTTGCAAGCGCTGTCGACCAGAGACAATGATATGAAAAAGAAAAATGTAAACGGCTCTATTTTGAGTTAAGATTCGCTGCGCTGTTTCTCATTATGCGCCGTTCAATCTTTACGCGATTATGTATCGTCTGTCTATACTTATACGGTTGAGAGTAGCGTGCGGATGAATATGACATATGCCCTTTCGGTGTTCAGAGCTGTTAATTTAAAAGTGCGTTCTTGAACCCTTTCAGAGGCATTGTATCTTTGTGTGCTTTGTACAGAGATGGTTTATCTGCCTCGCGGGGTACATAAGTACTGTTTTTTCATTCAGTAATGCTTTAACATTTGAAAGGGGCTAAATGTTATTCAGACTGGCTGCCCGCTTAGAAAATGTGTGGGCGTTTGGGGTATTCGAAAATTCCTATTTATTTCACTCTTAATGGAATAGTATTATGTAATGATCGGATTGAGTATAATTTGGAAAATAGGCACTTTCTTCGTTGTTTCTCTTGTGGCAGAGTCATGATTATTTTGTATAGTATGGGAATCCATATTAGTACCTTTAAATGATTATGACACGAGATTACGACTTGTCTAAAATAGTTATTTAAAATACAAACTGAATCAGCATACTAAAAGACAAAAAAAAATGTTTACAAACACAATAAAAAATAATGCAAAATCTAAAAAAGAACACGTCTTATTAAACGGATTTATTTCAAATTTCAATTTAAAATTTACATAAATAATACACCTTAGTAAAATAATAACTTTAACTAATTATCTTTTAATTCTCTGTTAACAATTAATTGTGGGCTTGATTGCACGGGATCCAATACTGTCTGTAGTTTACGCGAGTGGTACACATGTGAATAAAACACTTTAACGGTTTAAAACGCGATATATTTTAGTTAAAAAGTTTTTGAGAATTATTTTTAACTACGGCCCGACGTTCGGATGCATTGCATCAGCCGTGGTCCCGGGGAGGCAGTGTTTTATTTTAATATACTGGATACAACATGATTCTAAACATTTTATATATTATCTGAAACATGACAAACAAATGAAAACAAACCAATGGAGAAATGGGTCCATAGCGCATCGTTTAGATTTTATGTCGTATGACGTATCTACTACAGAATTACCTACAACCTATGCCCTTTGCACTCATGCCGTCTCGATCTCAATGGTTAGACACGTAGCCTAACATTCATTTTAACATTAGACTCCTTAGTTGGAATTTTGAGGAAACAATAAATGTCTCCCCTTGACCACGGCTGCTGCAAAGCATCCGAAACGTCGGGCCGAAGTTAAAAATCATTTTCAAATAAGTTTAACTAATATATCGCGTTTTAAACCGCTAAAGTGTTTTATGTAAATAAATAAGTAAGTAATTTACGATGGACGAGTAGGACACAATTTTAAATTAACCTACTGATAAAATCAGCCACTGAAACGGACACAGAAATGTGTTCGCCTCAAGCTCCACAGGAAGAAATAGGAATGCAAAAATTGCACTGTGTTGAAGATCAACGACCTTTAAGTTTAAACAGGCATAGTATACAAATATGTAGATAAAAGCCTTCGAGGTACAGTTGAATCCGAGAAATATCTAATGAAAACATTGACAGGATATTTATTTGTCTACATGCTTGAATACATTTAGTAAAACAATTCAATTTGTGTGTTTCTTGTCCCTTAAAAAATTAAGACAGCATTTATCACAGTATGTCTGTAGTTTACGCGAGTAATGTAGGTAAATATATTAAATAAAATATTTTAAACGGTTAAAACTTATTTTTATATTAACTTATATATAAATAAGTAAACTAATATATTAGGTGTTTAAAACGTTAAAGTGTTTTATTAAAATGTTACGAAATTATATTTATATAGCAATAAGCTTATTAGATAAAATATTGATGGTTAAAAACCTTAAAAGATTTGGTTATTTCTCTATGCCTTTGATATTGAAATTGTTTAGTCGTAAATATATTAATCGTATTTGTTTAATTATTAAAACTTAAGCTAGTTACAATAACATTTCCATTCCGGCCTCTGCCATCGATCAAGGCGCGCCGTCGACTGGCGCACACAGCCGCACTTCCCGCCCAAAAAGAGAAAAAGAAAATTTAAAAGCGAACCCACCCACCGCACCGCCTCTGCCCGCCCGATCCACCGATCCACCAATCGGCGCTGAGCCAGCCGAACGCCGACCGCGAACGCCGAGCCGTTCCGAAAGGCCCCGACGGCAAAAAAGCCAACAGCTCGCTTAGTGTCGGGTTGCGTCCCATAGATGCTTCGCGTATCGCGCCTCCACGACCGCGCTTGCGCAAGATCAGCCAAATATCAAAACATTGCTCTATAACGTGACTTGTGATTAAAATGGACGCGCGGAATGGAGCGTTGTTCAGTGTTGCTAGCGTTTTTTGTGTTTAGTGATAGTGAACGAGTGATAACGACGAGATTAGGACATTTCAGGTATTTTATTATGATTCATACGAAATAAACGTCTAGACGTGCCGATGGCGAGCGATTGATGGGCTATTTTATCATGCTTTGATACAATTAAATATGCAAATAAATAATTAGATAGGTACCTACTTGTGTCCGTGAACTAAAGGTTTAAAATTAATAGGATTAGTATTTTTAATGCTTTTACATTTAATAATAAATAAAGCAATTATAAAGATAGCTGTGTTATTGAAATTATTAATATGTATTACACGTAATCTCTATTACTTATATTTTTTTATTTAATACCTTGAGAATAGGTAAATATAGGTGGGTATTTAATAGCAAATATCAGTCAGTTTATTTGCGGTCGTAATCTCGATAGTGATTATTATATCTTATTAGAAAAATAGATAAAATAGAAAACGAAATTAGTATTATATTAGAATAAAAATCATCGGTCAAGTCATCTTAATTTTATCATATTATAATTAGGTACTTTTTACCGTTATTTGTTAGCGCATTTAAGAAGCCGTCGGCAAAACAGTCTCAAATGCTCAATCTAACCTCGACATCGCAACTCAGTTTAAATATATTAATAAAAACGTAATATTATTGAATTAAATGATAAAACAATTGTAATTATTTATGAAGCACAGTTCACTGCATTAAATAAATATTTCAAATTATTTTTTTTTACTTTCTGACTTATGATGTCCGTTAATAACTATTTAATTATGAGAGTATAAAATTCAAAATAAAGGGTATAAAATCTCGATTTGAATTCTAAGCGTTACTTATCTGAACATTAAAAAAAATTATACGGCTCTATTGAGGTATTAATAGATAACATGCCTATTAGATAAAAATGAATCGCTAGTCACAATTTTTTAAATTATAATTTTTAATTCAATATGCTCTCTATATCAAAAATCAAACTGTTATGTGACATAAGTTTACCAGCTTTAAAAACAATCCGGCTGGTAGGTATTACTATAACTTATCCAATCAATAAATCTTCAAATATAAAAATACCTGAAATTTTAACATTTATGTCAACATAGTGTATATGATATAAAACATAAGGGGATGATTATCTCATACAGGAAAAGATTTAGACAAAATCAAATCTAGCTAATATCGATGTAAAATGCAAGTTATTCACTTTGCTCATAGAAGTGTAATAATTAATACTTAATCGTAATACCTACAGTCAAGTGACATCACAAGTTCATTATATTCTCCCTTTCAAATATAAAAAAGTTAAGATCGAACTTACTTGGTACTTACAAAGAATTGTAATGAGGTGTAGGTATGTTTTACGCATTGATAATTATGTTTTTCTCGTCCACTTGCCTATCGTCACCTGAGGTTATAATTAATGCGGCGAGGTAAAAAACAAAATGTGTGAAAAGGTACAAAAAGGCAGGAATATTAAATTAAAATTTAATATCGAATCACGTTATTAATAGTTCATATTTTTAATAATTTGCGATATTTAAATACATGTAAAACACGCGGGCGTCTGGAAAACTAATTTATTTCGCTGTGACATTTACAATGTAAAATTTACAAATGCGTCGATGATTTCGTAATATTAATAAGCATTGAAATGAATAATAGCATATTAATCGGTGGATTTATTATCTTGTCCGCATCTTAAAAACAAGATCTGGCTCAGATATTGGAAAAAGAATAAATAAAAAAATTAGTTAAATCAACTATGTAGATAGACATCGCTTTGGTGATAACATTTTTGTCTAAATATTGATATTATATATACTTTTTACATTGAATTATTATTGAGGAAGTACACACATTCTAGTACCCGTTTTATATTTAAACATATCCTAACTCAACTAATTAAGTAACTACATGTGTTGATTTTATAAATAATTTTGTGAAACCGCGCTAGATATTACGCAACATAAAAATGGCTACAAGTTTGCCTTATATTGATAGATACTATATAACTTTTGTGATAGTATTGGCACTGTTTTTAATGTCGCTTTTAAACATTAAGGGGCGTTAAATCATACTTAGCTCTATATAAATAAAAATCTATTTCCTTATTTAAATACGCCACGGGTGAGACTTAACAACTTGGCTACAATTAGCGATGTTTTTTATTATATGTACCTTACAATAAATTCGTAACTGTATTTTTTTGTTAAAAATACCTTTTTCTTATTATAAAAGTAGGTATCAGTAGAATAAATCTTTTAAGCAAACTTTAGTATCCCAATATGACAAAGGAAGTTTTTAGTTGTATTTTTCAAAGAATGCTGAAACGTACGTACGTCGCATTATTTAGCAAAAGCAAAAATAATTATCTGTGGCACTCCAGACGTGAACGTTCAGGCATCTGCAGTCTGTGCTGGAGACTGGTTTATAAACAAAAACTTATGTATTCCGACAAGTAATACGAATAAATACGGAGGCACAAATCAATGTCAATGTCAGATCACTGTTTTCGTATCAAAGCCCTGCGTTTTCGGACGTTACGATTGGTCGCCATGACAGTTCGCG